CCTGCTGATTACCATTTCAGAATCTTATAAAATCCATCCACTTGATAAAGATTTTGGTGAGTCTGATATACTGCCAGAAATGGGGTATTTGGCTTAAAGATCTTTGGTCCGACCTAGAAATAGGAGCTTTACATCCTTTTATTATGCTATTCCTTCTTTTTTAAAAGAAAAGACAGAATTCACAATCCACAGTTTTGAACACAAATTTAAGTTATGAATTTACACTGTGAATTTTGATGTTTTCTAGCAATATGTTACTGCTTTTTGCCAACAAATTTGTAATTTTTTAATGAAGCAAACACAGTATGGTGGAAGTCAATGAAAATTGCTACCTCTACCTCCCAACCTCCTGGCATGCATTATAATATGGAGCTACAAAATCCTTCAGAATTGGACGAAACTTTTCTTCCTTCCCCTCTGCAATAAGGCAAAAAGCACAACAATTTGCACTTGCACTTGCCTCTCTTCCCATAAAATATTGCAACTTGCTGCATCTTCCTTAATTAACATAAAAGACTCTTCCAAAGTATACATGATTTATGGCAGCTTTCAGAAGCAGAAAAATGTTTTTGTACTACACGTCATACTCATTATGTGACTGCCTATCATCATATTCTATCTTAAGGCTGGACTCTGTTAAGCTCCAACTTTAGATCTCAGATACAATAAATCACAGTATGATCACCTTCTTTATAACACTATTTCTTTCAAAGTCATTGTATTTCATGTTTTTAAGTTTTTACTTTCCTGGAAAGCACAGCATACTTCCTATAGTGTCGACTCTCATTTTGCTAGACAATGAAAGAAGAAATATAAATTTGAGAAAAATCCTTATGTTCCTTCAGCTCAGAGGAAGTGCCACTGCCACAGCTAACAATACACACCGCTTCGTTCCTTATCAGCATGTTGCATTTTTAAAATCATGCGCTGAGGTGCTCAAAAGGTACAGGTTAGTTATTAGTAGTAGTACCCCACAAACCCGTTTTCCCTCTACAAAAAGAAGCCACAAGCTCCCCTCCAAATCTCAGCTTCATGTTAACTGACAAACCATCTGCATGGGAACAATCCAGCTGTATACTTAAAAGGAGAGAAGAGAAACAGTTCAGTGACTTTATAACAGCTAAACTGAATTGGTACAGAAGATGCCACATCAAATTTACTCTGCCAGTGGGACTGAAAGGAGATGCCTACACAGCACGTAGACAGTCGGACACCCTTTACTGTCCGTCCCAGGAGAACATCTCACCCTCTTTGGTGTAAGATTCATTGTGTCCTCTAGAAGAGGTCAGGTGAATTCTTCCTAAAAATGCCTATTTTCCCCCTTAGATTAGAAGGGGAGTGGAAATGACATCTCTGGTGTGGAGACCTGCACCGTAGGACAAATTCATCCAGTATCTCTAGATTGGCTTTGTGACCAACTTTGTGTGTCCACTGCTGTGAAGGAGTTAAAACTGCGTTAGCTTCATTTTTTAAAGTCCAGCCCATAATCTGGCATTCTTCTATAGAACAGCATTTCATTTGCATTTACATGAATGCATTATATAGTTTATCAGAATGTTGGATCAATAATTCAACATATGCCACCTAATAAACTTTGAAATACTACTGCCTAGTTAGCGTATGCTCTATAGGAGTCTTTGTTCTATAGGAAAGACTTGCTTTACATTTTATATGGATAATTAATTGAGATGTACTTTAAATTTATTTTACCACATTAAAATTGCTCCTGTAAATTTGCTGAGGCTGTTTGCTACAGATTTCAACTACATTTTCCTCTTAGAATTATGTCATCCTCTGAACCTCATCCTCCCGATTTCATATGATTTGATTAAAAAAAAAAAAGAAAGTACATCTAATTCACTAATATATTAGAGGAAAGTGATTTTTGCTTTGTTGCAGTTGCAACACGTCAGTATCTCACAAAAGGGCATGGCAGCATCAGACAGGTTTCATTTATTTCCTTGTAGCCACAGCTGTGCTCCCAGCCCCATCTGGCCACACAGCCACTAATCTTAAGAGGATGTAATAAACAAGTGACATACAACTGCAGGCTCCATCTGCTCCGGAGAGTGGACAACAAAACCGTACAATGCAGGCACCGTTCACACTTGACACAGGGAGCAAATTCATTCCAGTATTAAAAAAAAGTTTTTTTCCCTCGTTTGGATGCCACGCTTGCCACGTTTTCTGCTTTGCAATAGGTTCACTTTTCCTCTCCCTTCGCCCCAGTCTCCCTTGAGAAACACTGTGGTAGCAGCAGCAAAATTTCGGGGAATGCTTGCATTAGAGATTTGTTTTCTAGGAAGTGGAACTGAGAAAATCTTGATTTTTATTCTCAGGCTGCCCGGTATCTGCTTTGACGGGAGTAGTTCTTTAATTCCTCTGCCTAAGTTTTACAGTGAATAACACCGAGATAACAATACTACTTTCCTTACACAGGCATTAGGAACTGGGTGGCTGGGCCAGTATTTATTAACCCTGGGAATGAAAAGCCTTATTGAAATTCCAGGTCTGTGAATTATGCAGGAACCTTAATTTTGAGTTCCTGAAGGCGGCAGAGTAAGAAAAATGGCCCAACAAAGGACACCTGGCTCTCAGCTAGGGACACGCAGTCTCTTAAGAATTGCATCCCGTTTGTGAACTTTTATAAACATAAATTTTGCAATGTAAATAGCAAATGAGATGCTACACCACCATACTGTCTTCGCAACAACAGTATATATTGTCATTTTAATTTGTTTTATACTTATCAGGCTTTGCTATTTGTATTTTAAGCCATGCATAGAAATGAAATGTTAAAATACTCCCAGCTCGGCATATATAGCTCCCTTTCTCTTGCACTTTATGGATCATCCCCATCATCCCTCTGCCAAATCCATTTACTCGGAGGATTTTATCATGAATAATTAACCAATATAGAAAAAGTCCTACAGAAATAAACTTAAAATGATCACAGGGCTTTTTCTCCTTTTTTTCTTTTATAACCTGGTACAGAACACTAGGAAATAACATCCCTGCTCTCTGAAATCCCAAACCGCAGTCAAAGAAGCCTTTAAAAGGAACAGAATTTTCTATTATATTCTCTTCTACTTAGAATAATGTCTGTAGAACCCTACTGATTTCAGTTTGGTTAAGTTTTTCAGAAACTTTTCCATAAAGGAAACACATACCATTACAGCATAATATAGATTTAATTCTCCTAACATTTTTTGTCAGTTTTACGTCTCTCATGCCAAAATACTTGGATAATGTCCTCAGATTCATCCTGATGGAGCAAGTTGCACAGTTGGGATGTAAACAAGATTAATCAGGAGATGAAAAAATAGGGGTGAGGAAAAAATGTTGGCTATAATAACACAAATCTGGACAATGTGTATGGCAGCATCATAGCCTACATGTATAGAGAAATATCACACTTTCAGGAAATTTTTTATTTTTTACGTATTTATACTGTCCTCCAAAGAGAATTGTACCTTTTTTATCTGAAACCAGCTTAAAACTAGGTGAGAGAGTACCACAAACTGCTGCCTTTGAAATGTTGAACTATCCCTAGCTATTTCTGAAGAGAGATGAAAAGAAAATCATGCTGACCAAGGATACCTGTAGAAATAAAACAAACATACATGGGCTTGACAATCAACCTTTTTATCCCATATAATTTCTAACTGGAAGACTTTATCTGGACATCCACTGTGACCATTTTTTGAGAGTTTCAACAAAATCATATTTAAAAATGGATGTTTACTTCCTTAATGCAGGACATTCCACATCTAATGCAAGGTAACAAAAGCAATTTATTAACTTTTATTGGTAATTTTTGTGTTATAAATTTTTTATTGTAAAAATTTCAGATGGAACAAAGATCACTGTCATCTCAAACAATGAGAACAAGGTACTATTACAGTGTCATCTAAAAGGCCTGGCTATAGGATCACAAAGCAACAGGATTTGTTTTAATAGACCTAAGTGCATGATAATATATACAGGTATTTAAAGGTGTAGATAGTACTTATAAAATGGAGGACTCTGCCTTGAAAGTAGTTACCCCTTTGGATTTAAGGGGTAACTACTCCCTCAGCGTGATCTCTGGATGTGCAAAGGCGGAGGGATTTCCAGTAGGGAGATGACTGGTATTTATTTTATCACAGAGAAGAATGAGAGGTAGTTTGGTTACAGCATATAACTATATATGCCATACACCTGTATTTAAGTAAGGCGCTTCACAGTGTGGGGTCCTTCTATCTTGTTTACAAGGTCCAGCTGCGGTTAGATAAGCTCAGTCTTGAAATAAGATCCCATTTCCTAGGAGCAAGAATGACTGAACATTCCAGTTACCTCTTGGGGAAAATACAGACTTCCACGGCTGTGAGTCTTTTATGGTCAGATCTCTCTAAAGAAGTACATTTTTATTCAGCTATTGGGAAGAAAACTCGGCCCTCCAGACTGCTCCCCTCCTTCAGGGCCCTGGGAAGACTGGGATTACTTACATGGTCAGTGCTATATTTTGATCCCCTGAAGTACCAGACTGTTAAAAGTAATAGCACCTCATGCTTCAGTGCTTCAGACTTTTCTATACAGGATCCATAGGAGTTTCCTTCTTTTTCAGGAAATTTTCCTCCAATTGTATCGATTTCATTTCTGGGATTCAAGATTTTGTTGTTGTCAACTATCCTTTGGAGTGTTAAGAGATTGGTCATAAGTAGAGACCAAAACCTGAGAAAGATGGACTACTGCTCCAAGATGGTAAAGAGAATCCTCCTAAGCTCCTGCTTGGTGCATCTTATTCACATGCTCACACCACCATGATTACTGTACGGGTCAGGCAGATGGGAGCAATCTGATTTCATTTTTCTCTTTGTTTGGGTTCCCCCCCACCCCCACCCCCCGCTTCCATTTCAAGGTCAGGGACCAAAGTCTGACTACTGGGATCACTGGGAATATCACACTTTTTTCACTGGTGGCACATTAAGCTGCCCTGCTCTTTGCGTCAGGCACATAAGCTGGTTTGAAGACCCAGTATTTTGGCCATTATGAAGTGCTTGGACTTCCTAGAAATTATTTGGATTAAATTTTATGATCTGTAACATGTAGAAGGCCAGATCAAATGATCTAATAGTCCCTTGTGGCCTTAATTTCTGCAAAGCTATGAAACTATATTCCCAACTTATCTTGGCAAATGTAGTTCACTAACTTAGCAGATTATGAACAGCGTGAAATCAGAGAATACCCTTTGCCAAAATACACTAGGAATGTCTTGTTATCTATTCATACATAACTTGTTCCAGATGAGATAAACTCTCAATAGTGAGCTAGCTAGCTACACAATAGATTAAATAGATATGCAAAAGAATGACAGACAGTAAGCCCTCACTTTTTTAGGAAACATTTTTTCCTTAGCTCAATTGATGTACTACGTTGCTAATAATTCTCTATGGAGTGGTATTCTGCAGTCAATTATGTCTTTGCAAGTGGGTGTAAAATACTAATGTTCAGATTTGTGTCTACCTTTCAACAAGAGAGAAAACTTCATCATCTATCCCATGGACCACTGATTCATTCTTGCAGCCTCTGAAAAAATATCTCTCCCCAAGAACTCCCATTACTTTCGGCCTCTGCATACCAAACCCCAGCTATGTGGGGCTGAGCTTCCACATTCCTCAAACTATTTTCTGCTTGCCACACTCCTGCTGGCACCTCTTCCTCACCGACTGAGAGCAGAGTTAGCACCGGTGGTGCAGACCCCTTGCTGCTCCATGTGGGAAGGACAAGCGGGTGGGCTTCCACCAGCACGAGCACCCCACAGGGGGACAACCAAACAACCACACAGAGAAAGTTCAGAGGCTCCCTTTTTGGTACTGCTACAAAGAATTTTGCCGTATCCAAACACCAGAAGGCATACAGCATACTGCTTTCTCTCCAAGTTGTTTCTCAAGACAGGGGTCCTGCTTTTCCAAGAGACACCGTATATTTTGGCACCGTCTACATTAGTGTCACATATACAAAAAGGACCAGGAAAATAGCTCTGCTACAATACTTAATTTTTAAACACGTTTAAAGAGCAAATATTAGATACCGAATACTAGTATGGTCACCCTGCTTGAACTAACTTTTGATAGTTATTAGTGCCTAGCTGCTTCTCTGACATTATCAACACGGATAAAATCTCTCATCGGGGAAATTAAAAAGTACTAAATGCCAGTGACTGAAAGAAACTTTGTTACTTTAAACCTTGCATTAAAATGACAAAGCAATCAAAGTTTGACAAGACAAGCTAATTAGTATGCTAGCGATGAAATGTGAAGGATCTCCAGGGGATTGGTTCTGAAAAGTTTTATGTCATTTACAGGGCCTTTTTTTTAAAGCAAATGTTGTCAGCTCTCATGGTGAAATACACAACAGTTGAATTTCATTATCTTCATAGAAATTAAGGACTAAAATCCCTTTGCTGTTTTCCAGTTCTCTTTTTTTTTCCCCCTAAATACTACACCAAGTCTTAGTTTACAGCCAGGAATACAAGCTCTTCAGAACAGTAGTGCAAAACAACTCTGGAGGCATCAACGAGCACTAAAAATGCTATCGTTTTAAGTGGCAGTACGGTACTTACTGGGTTAGGTATTTCACAGAATTATAAAAATCTTCTTCTCTCCCAGAGAACTTGTATTTTACATGTATGATAAGGATCTTCCTCTACAATTTTTTTATTAACTGCAACGTAGCTTATTATAAGAAAATGTTACTGTATTTTGAAATGTTGCGTATTGCATCATGCACTGAAACCTGGATAAGCAAATAAAATATACGATGAATACAGGTATGTATGAGTTTTCTTAAAGATTTACAAGAACTTTGTACGCTTCTATTTAACGTGCTGCCTACTTATTACATTGAACTGTAGTTACACCACTTTTTTTTCCCTCAGCACAGACTGAAGTTAATCAACCGTCGCAGCACAGAATTGGGGCCCTCATCATATCCCAGCCTTTGGAAGGTGAATCATGTTGCTTATCACTCAAAAGCTCTGTACGTTAGGAAAGAATTAAAGGAAAGTACACTCAAGCCTCAAAAGAGTTTCACGAATGTACATAACCTGATGGGACCTCAAATCTGCTGACTCTTCTGACAGCCACAGGCTGGACGAGCAGTTTAACCCCCTACTGTCACACTAAGCAGGGGACTTAATGAAATTCTTACTTCAGAATTTATCCAGAAGACAACAGAGGAGTATATGGGGTAGGTGTGGAGCTAAGCAGCCTCTCCTGGGGTAGGGAGGGCCATTACCCTGCAGACACTCCAGGGACATCCATGGTGATGCTCTGCTGAACAGGAGGGATAGAGCAGGGTGAAGCTGTCACCGCAAAATGGGAAGAGGTGCAAGTTTACCCCGAGACGTTAAACATGCCTCGCTTGTCCTGCCTTGCCCTGCAGGGTCTGTCAGTAGAAGTGCAGAGTTTTATGCCACAGGGATTGCCCACATTCTAGTAGAAGTATTGTAGCATTTAGTAAGCCCGAGGTTGTTGGCATTAAGCAGGTTCAGTGAAAATGATGCACAGAAAGGCCCTGCTTTCCTTTCCCCACAAGCATCTCCCTGGAGGGAGAGGTGCCCAACTTACCTTCCCTTTTGCTTCAGCTCTGTCAGCTTTTCTCAGCAATTAGGAAGCAAAGCAAATGCCTGTGATCTGTTTGGGGATGATCCAGAGTCATATTTTAAGGTCCAGGCATGCACAAAATATTACAGCCGGAAGACAAAATTTTATATATATATATTTATTTATTTATTTTTTAAAGGCGGAGGCAGAATTGCAAACTTGAGACATTGCACACTGCAGCTAGCAGAACCCAAGAGACACAACATCCCATGACCTGGAGAGCACATGTGTGCCCTGATGGCAAAACTCATTCTTACCTGGAAGCCATCTGGTGCTCTGCTATATTGTGCAGGAACATATTTGTACAAAATAAACTGTTCTTGGTTTCTTTACTGACTAGTATGTACCTCTCCATTACATATACGATTACACATATGCTTTCCTATTCTCCCTCATTTTAAAGAATTACTTAAGAAAATAAGGAAACAGAACAGGTTTTGACGGACCAAGGTTCATATTTTTCTCACTTGCGAAAGACATGCAACAAACTTGAACATTTTAAAAGAACTAGGCTGTACAGTAAAAGTCTCCGAGTAGAACATTGCTTTTAAAAGGTCATCTCATTGAAAGTAAAATGAAAAGAAAAAGTAAAATTTAATAAGAAAGGAAGGAAAAAACATTGAACTCAAAAGGTTAATAATCTATCCTTTAAACAAAAAAGGCAATCTACTTTTTCTCATTAAAACCTGACACACAGCACTAACTGAGGAGATTATGTTGTGAAAACATACTGCACCGCACGGTAATGCTTGATCGAGATCAGCAATCAGGAGCAAAAAGAAAGCACTGTTTCGTGATTATAATAGCAAATTCTGGAAGACAACCAAATACATCATCTGGCAGCTCAACAGCTGTTACAGCTTGGTAGTAATACCTTGGCATTTGCTATAAGCTATAACTTGAAAAAATTGATTTCTCATCTGCCAGAAACAAGAAAATGTTCTCCTTTTAACATTTCTGAAGTTTCTTTCACTAGATTACCCAGGTATTTGATCCACTTTTTAATTTTGCTCGGTTTTTACCCTTGCTGCTAAGCTAACTGTATATCAAGGTGAATCAAAAATAAATTTGAGGGGAAAATACCGGATGCAACTTAAATAAACAATGTGCATTCAGACAAATCCCGTTTCAATGAAGCACTGGGTAGTAGATAGCACAAAATATTCCTGATTGTCCTCCTTACTCATACTCACAGCCGTGATCAAATGGTCATTATTATACTTCATACCTGCCTGAAAAAGGGAGATTTCCAAAATAAAGTTTAGTACCTTTCCATGTGCTTTGCTGTTAGGTAAGCCTTCTTTTTCCAAGTCGGAGCCAGTACACAAGGATGTAGACTGAGATAATAATGCTGAGAATTTACAATACTTAACAAACCCAGCCTTTAAATTACTCCTGGGTATAGGACAGGAAGAGGAAGAAGGAAGATGTTTATTGTAATTTTTATAACTACATGAAATCATTAAAGCATTTGTTCTGTGTGTAGAGAGGCTCCCTGAAAAGATCAATTTTCTAAGCATACAGTACTTTATTGACCTTAAAGTAACTATGCATCACAACAAGGGCATGGACTACTTAAAATCTTTTAGCATTTCAACTATTCTAGTTATTTTAGGGTTAAGTAAAAGCAATCCATCATAAATATTTTAGATTCTGGCATTCCACTTAGATTCTGAAGTGTCATAATATCTCTCAGAAATCAATAGTCACACAGTACATCTATGGAGAAAAGAAAAAACATATACACAAAGGTGGTACAATCTATCAAATAGATCTCTACCTTTACGCCTAGTGCAGTTTTCTTGGCCTCTGCTTTTAATCTTGTAGCTCTTAACATAGGCCTGGTTTTCTTATAATCTTGTTTTCCTAGAGTAGAAAAGCACATTTAATGAAAATGATGCAAAAAGAAGATAAAGAATGTCTGCAGTTATTTCAGTTGAAAAGTCAGATCTAACATTTTGAAAACATCCCACAGTCCAATGGAACAACGGTCCCCAACAAAGACAATGACAGCAACAAGCAAGAGCTGACAAATCAGTGTAGAACCTATTACTCCAGAAAGACATCAAAATAGATGTACAGATAGCCATCCACTAGTACAATGTTTATTAAATTGTTCAGTAAGCATCAGACGGCAAATAAGTAGATTAAAGGTGGATGATGTTTTTCCCTCACATTTCAATCAAAACAAATTTTCATTATAATTTTTGTTGGTTAGTCATCTCTAATGCATGTATAAATGTGTAATACCGGACATTATGGTGAGCGTAAATGTTTCATCGTTCTGAACTGGAACATTATTTGTGAGTAGCAGAACTCAGAGATGTGCAAGTCAGTCCAAGTAAGCGCTAATAAAACCATTGCTTCACACCATCTGCTTGTAGAAACATGTTACACAAAATCTTCTGGAAAGGTCTTGGATGGACTTTTTAAAAGTTAGGGCCTATCTCTTGCACTCACAAAAAGTGCAGCCAAGTGCTTGGCTACTGTGAGTCCATATGAACTGAGTTCAGAGGAGGACATGCAAGTACTTAGAAATGGCATAACTCATTTATCTCAACTCAGTAATAAAGCATAAACCACTTGATATCTCTCAGGGATATTTTTGCTGTCTGAAGGGCCTGTTACCGCTGTACCAGGTACTATTAACCACAGCTTCTTTCAGTCAACAGAAGTCAAGGTGCAGATGGAGTCACAAAAGGAGGAGAAGGAAGAGGAATCCGTAAAGAAACTGCTCAGAGGGACCGAGACTCAGCACAACTGCTTTGGCTTTTCAAAAAAGTCCTTTCCATCTTCCCCTCCTAATGCATACATGCCTGTTTGTCCTTTTTGCTTATTTCCAAAGCTGAGCTACAATGCTTAAAGCAGACATCTTTGGCCATTTTTAACCACTACTTTTACTTAGTTTTACCTTCATCATTTTACATTTCATCATTGTTACATTCAAATAATTTAACCTTTTCTCTAAAACCATGCCCAGTAGTCTTGTGCGTGCAACATTCCCATTTGCTCAACCAGCTGGGGTTTTACATTCATAACCAATAGTGCAAGCTTCTCATTTTATGGTCACCTTCAAAACTGGGATATTACAGTGCAGCAGCGAAATTCTGAAACATGAATTGGAAAAGAAAGGTCTTCTCCAGTGATACACTGGATTCATGGAAACACACCGCTACCTTTGTCCACTCTTTCTATCCCTCTACTCATATTTAATACAGAGCTCCTCTCTGTAGCATATTGTGGATGCTGAACTCGCATTATGAATTTGCTTTCATTGTATAATCTCTCCTCAGCCCTAGGGATTATATATTGTGAAGGTCTCTGTATTATCCTTTGGTCAGATATTATTCATAAAGGACCTGAAATAACTTAGAAAATACTCAGTGACTAAAGGAAAAAATAACTGAAACCATGTCTATTGAGGGAAAAGAAAGCATATAACCAAGAAACCTTCTTAGAGGACTGAGTGAAGAAAAGATGATGGAATGACTATCTATGTCTGATGCTCCAATATATTCATCCAGTCAATGTATCCCATTTGCAGAACGAGACCACTGCAGCATTTTTCTTCAGAAATCCATGATATCTGATAATAGGATGCGTCAGGAGTACAGTAATTTTTTTTCAACAGGTAGAAAAAAAAGAATTGCAGGTACCACCAAAATGGCTAAGTCATGAGATGAAGCCAGCCAGAAAGAGAATGTGTTTCTTCTTCCTAAAGTACTGCAGTCTACTTTTGCTATGAAATAGTTAAAGAGCTGTCAGAATTTCCATTATAAATGGCAAGAGTTTATAACTCATAAAAATTCACTCCAGGCTGAAATTTGGCATAGATATACCCCAGCCTTGAATTTTTTTGTTTGTTTGTTGGGAGCCAACTTTCAATAAAGTGATGCAGCTGTTCTTACTTACTTGTGAACAAACTATAGAAATTTATCCATCTGAGATGTTTTAAGCATGACAAATACCTTCATTTAGAAGTATATAACTGACAAGGACTAAGTTCAATTTCAGTTCTCATAATTCAGGTTTCCTGCTCTCCCTTCTGGGGTAAATAAAGCAGGACAGGCAGAGGTTTCCCTTCCAGTGATGCAATAGCATTAGATAATGAAAACTAGAAAGCTTTGTACGGCCCATAAGAAATGGGAAACAAATCAGCTACAGAAACCCACCTTCTTTCCTCCCACTGCCCAGTCTCCCTCCTCCTCCCCAAGGCTCAGCTGAGAAGGTAATGCAAGCAGGGGTAACCATTGCACAGGAGACCCAGCTTATGAACAGCAGGAACAAGTCTATTCCTAGAAAAGGGAAAGCTCGTTGGTGTTCTTTCCCTTGGTTTCAAGCACTCCCATACTATTTATTCCAGTATTGTGGCTATGGCTAAGACTGGATTCTACTTACCTAGAGAATACTTCCAGATTTATATTAACTCTGATATGAACAACTAAACCCCCCTATATAACAAATAGGCTATTTTAACGACTCTAGATCTGGTAGTTCTCCAAATCTATGCACCTGCCACTAATTTACCACTCTCCTTGCTAAATGGGATAGCCAAAAGGAAAAAAAAAAAATATTTATATGGTAGGGAAACAGTCTGAGCCCGCCAAGCGCAAAAGTTTAAAAAGGGCATCTGTAGAGTCTTTTGTAATGAAAACCAGATTCAGCAATTGTACTAAAAGACTCTTAAAGCATCTGAACTTTCTGAGGCCTTGGAAAAGACATCTGCACTACAGGACTATAAAGAACTATGAAATGCAAAGCCCCTACCATGTGAATACTGATCATTACCACCTGGAAAACAAGCAGAAATAAATAATACAGCCTCCCTCTGTTCTTTTGGGTCTTCAAATTCAACCAGTTGGAACAAGTATATTCACACTCCCAATGTCTTCTAGTTTTATCTCACTTATCCTGCAAGCTTTCTTGTACATTTATCTGTCAGAGTCATCAGCTTAAGCAGTTTCTTCTTCCCAGGAACTGACCGTCAAAGCCAGTTAAGACAGACTCATCAGACAAAGCCCCATTTGTCTGCTTTACCCAATGTCTGTTCAAGACAGACACTAAGTTTTCCTGAGGGAATGTAGAAAGGCAAGAAGAAGCAGCCAAAAAGATAGAATTGGAATATTTCCAGAACAAATTTTGTATTACTTAAGCAAAATTCTTTCCTCTTCTACTTCTCATTATCATTATCAGTTCTTCATCTCATCTCTCCTCTTAAACTCCAGCATCGGCTTCCCTTAACTTTTTTTTATAACTACCCCGATTTCCTTATTTTTTTTTTTTTTACAAATTTGCCACTTCTTTCTTGACAACTTTTCCCAAGTCCATCACTTTCTTTCTATTTTTAAGGCCACAGATCTAGTCTACAGTAAGTCAACTTTTCTTACTGACTACAGCCATCATCCCCCTGCTCATCTTGCCTCCTGCCTGTCCGTCCCAAGACCAGGTGCAAAGATCATCCGCCTTTCCATTTCAGTGCCTGAAATGTGGCCTTTGCCCTTCGGAAGCTCTCCAGAGCTCACCTTTCATCTCACCCTTTCCTTCCATCCTTCTTGCACAGTTTTTCCTACTCCTTTGGTGGCAGAGTGACCCCAGCAGCAGCTGAACTGAGTTGTGCTCTGTTTACAGAACCTGCTTTGAAAACCTTCCACAGGTAGAAATGAAGACTATTCTGCTAGCAGTAGAATTAAAAAAGGGTGAAGATAAGGGTGAAATCACAGAATCATAGAATACTTTGGGTTGGAAGGGACCTTTAGAGGCCATCTAGCCCAACCCCTGATATATACAATACAAAATACAGGTACTTTTTAAGCTACTAAACACAGCTGTATTGTGAAAAATGCCAAAGTGTCTCCCTCAGAGTGAATATTAGGGATTCATAAAATATGCAACATGAGTTTGTTTCTCCTCATGTAACCAGGATTAAAAACCTACAGATTTCACAAGAGTTTTTGTGATTTGTCTCCACTCACAGGGGAAATTGCGATCCCATATGTCTGCTATTCAATAATTTTAATACAGATTAGAGACGACCTGATCTGGTATATTCAGTATTCTTTTTAACTAAACCTCCAATGACACCGTGATTAATGCAAAACTTAAACTAGGTAATACATATCAGCTAGACAAGTTCATTAAGTTCTGGGTGACCATTTGGTTTTAGTCTACAGAAATACTGTGACACTACCAGGTAGCATGCATAACATTCTACTTCTGCATACATACCAAGCTCTGTTATATGTGTAACGGAGAATGCAACATGCCGAGCACTGCATTTAAGAAAACTGACTACATTTAAGATTGTTTAAAGACACTGCCATTTAAGATACAACCTGAAATAATCTACAGAATAACTTCACGAGAAAAAAAAATAGATTCCCAACACTTCTAGATATTTACTCTCTCATTCTAACAAAAGCTCATTACTGGAACTGAATAACAGACTAAAGGCTGCCTCTCCGCTTTTCAATTCATCAGGCTTTAGCAGGAACAGGACGGCATCTTTGGCCTTTGTTGATGCTGCTGTCCAATCTTATTATCATATGAATATCTAGTTATTGTTTTATAAATGTTCACATTTCGGGAGCTCCCTGCTTTCTTTTCTCTCAGTAGACTTTACAATATCCACCTTCATTATCATCATGTGGCAGCATTGCTCTTTGCCTGCATTTGCTACTTTAAAAATTAATGCACTGCTATTTTCTGAATACTGTACTGCGTAAGCTGCTTATGAGTACATTATGCTATCAAGCAAGCACATGCAGAAAAGCTTCCTAAACTGTTATTCTTTCAATGAAAATACAGCTGGTTCTGCTTCAAAGGCATTTCTTTTCACCTGCAAATGGACTTGCTCCTACACTTATTCC